AAACTAAAAAGATGAAAAGAAATTTGAGAGCACTGTGAAGTGAATTTTGCTATAATTTATTAAGAATTAATTAATTAGAAATTTGTTGATTTATTAAACATATAAGAAATTAATTTTTAAATTAAAAATTATGGCGCTAATTTTTTACTTATGTTAAAGTAATGATAACAAAAAAGAAAAAATTAAAAAGATGAAAAGAAATTTGAGAGTACTGTAAAGTGAATTTTGCTAATACATATATATATATGTAAATATACAAAAAGTTGAATTAATTTTTTAGAACCTAATTCATGATATTTGCATAAATGTATGTCTAAGTTATTTTAGTAATCGAAATTTTTTTTTTATCATATTTTTAAAAATGCAAAAAAAAAATTGTAACAAAAATTATACCAATATAGGTATATATATGTCCACTAGCAAAACGATCCTTTAAATTATCAAGTAATGTTTGTTCTGTAAGCTCTGGTAGCATACATAAATCGGGATATTCACGATACCTAAAAAAAAAAAAAAAAAGGAAAAAAAATTCTTAAATTTATGACAAAAAGTTTCATTCCATCTTATTAATCATATATCTTTTAGAATAATTTATCTCAATTACGGTATTATATGTGAAAGCTTTTTTTTTTTGTCATACCTGAGGTTGTGTTAAGAATTTAGCTAAGAATGAATCAATAGTACTGGATGTTTTTGTGGAACCAAAATGTACACCATCAGATAGCAACGATGAATCTTTATGCCTAAAATAAGCATGCATTCGAGAAATACCAAAGAATATCTCGTAATATTGTTAGCTTAAATCAATAAATTATTAATGAAAATGAATTTAATTTAAATCAATTCAAATAAGCTTAAATGAGATAAATGTTAATTTTGTAAAATTTATTTTTTTATCTTAAAAAAGAAAAAGAAAAGAATTAATTTCCAAAAATTTCAATTTAGCTAAAGTTAAATAGAATGATTGGTTAGAGATTTTTTTTCTTTCGTTCCTTATTGTAATCTTAAACCAAAGATTAATATTTTTAAAATTGATAAAGTTTTTTTTTTGTCTAGCTTAAGTCAAGTGTTCCTACTGTACGGAAGCTAATTTACTTCCAAGTTCTAATCTACAATGCCACTAATTATCAATGATATATGATGATATATGACTCCTATTGGCTAATAAATATTAAAGCACTTGGCCCAAAAAAAAAAAAAAAAAAAAAAAATAGAAAAAAATGAGACAAGTAGCAGTAGAACTTTTTGTTGTATAGCTGCAATCTTTTAAAAGAGAATAGAATTAATGAGAATGATATGTGATCAAGCATGTAAGTTATCTGATAATACAACTAGATAGCCAAAATCAGGCTATTCTTTGCTGTAACCAAAATCAGGCCATTCTTTGTTGTAGCTAAAATCAGGCTATTCTTTGCTGTAGCCAAAATCAGGCCATCCTTTGTTGTAGCCAAAATCAGGCCATCCTTTGTTGTAGCCAAAATCAGGCTATTCTTTGCTGTAGCCAAAATTAGGCTATTCTTTGTTTTTATTTGATTGACCACTAGTTCAGGGGCAATTTTTTTTTTTTACCTCAATACTAAACGATTCTTTGGTGTAGCTTCATTACTTTCACCATGCAACGGTCGTGTCCAAAGCATTTGTACAGCTACCGGATATTCGCCTCGGTCAAGTTTTCGCTCTTTAAATGTTTGTCCATCCAATGTACCCATAATTTCGTATAGTTCATAATCATCAGCACATTGATGTGACAATTCTGTAATATATTTGAAGCAGTAATAATATCTATAAGTATTATCAATTTATAAAAGGATCAATAAAATGATAAGTAATCCGATTACTCGTTACTCGCTAAAACTTTTATATGCTAATTGAAAAAGTTAAGCTGAAAATAATTTTATATAATTTTATCATATATCATTTAAAAAAGTTATCCATTTATTAAGTTCTAATTATAATGAATGAATTCTGAATCATTTCCATATTATTAATATTCCGGAAAATTTACCGTTTTTTGTTGTAAAACTTTTTCAATAAGTTCTTCGGTTGTTGCCCATTTATGAAAATCAAAGCTAATTCGATGTTCATAAGAAACCGGATTAAATGAATATAAATAAACAGAAACAGTTTGAAAATGTGACTCATCCGTTGAACTTGCATTTGAAAGAATGGTTGATGAACGATGTGGATAAACATTTATCGTATTGATAGAACCCAATGATGAAGTTGAATCAAAACTCATTACTGTAGTGTAAAGTTAATTAATTAATTGGAATTGATATATTATCGTATCTGTAAGCTTAATTTACATATACGTGTAGAATAAATAGAAAGTACACGTGCCAATTAAATTCTGAAATTATATATTCATTAGTATCCTTAATAACAAATGTAATTTTGATATACTTTTTTTTTTTTCTGTATGACGTTGTATGACGTGAATTTTATTTTAAAATGCGTTCAATGTATGAATGGTTAATGAATGGAAAAGAAGCAAAAGTTATATAAAATAAATTTGAAATTTTCCGAAGATAAAAATAAAAAGAATTGAATAAATTGAAATTTCTTTTTGATAAAAATTCTTTTTTTTTTTGGATGAAATAAATCGAAACTTTCTGAAATTTAGTAAAAATAAAAAATTTATTTGCAAAATTAAAAAAAAAGATCAAGTGAATTTAACAGAAAAATCAAATGAATTTAATAAGAAAAACAAATTTTTTAAAATTTAAGCAAAATATTTAACCATTGAATGTCTTTTTAATTGCTTCAAAACAAATAACTACAGTGATAATTGTACAAGAAGCGCTTATGGCATGATATCATAGTAGTGATAAGTGCATAAGGTGCGCTTTTGGCATAATATTAATTAATATAAGGTGCGCTTTTGGCACAATGTTAATTA